GATATTGTTTAACTGGGCCGGTAGCATGGATTTTGGTGTTAGTGATGTGTCACTCATTGTCACTTGCGCTTGTTAGGAGAATCCAAGCGTTCACTGGCAATTAAACTTGCAATTTGTGAATTTTACTGGGCGAAGTCTTTGTCAAGGTGAAACATGCCTAGAATAGTGGACTTAGATGGCCAGGTTTTGTGGGAAAACTTCAGGGTGATTTTAGGGGAAAAAAAAAAAAAAAAAAAAAAAAGACCTCTTTTCCCTCGCAATCACTTAATAAAAATGTACTCAGAGACACGCATCTCGCTCTACTGGGTTAACCATGTGATGATCATGATTCTTTTAATGTTTTACATGAATCTTCGTGTTTTCTACCAGTGTCTCTCAATGCCACAATCAGGGTATTTTTGATAACTTGTATTACCCTAATCGCCAAGAAGTATGCTCCAAACTGATTAATTCCAGAATGATTAAAACATCCTATGCAATTCATTTATTGTTGCTGCAGTTAATTGAATATTTGATGATTTAAAGGTACCCTGATTATTTCCTAAGATATGTCTTTATCACCAGGCAGATGATCTGCGCGTGGTCCCCGTGTGGCTACATGGGGTGGCAGCCTGCACTGTGACACGCCGAGAGGGTAGGCACTTGGGAGGGCTCTCAGTCAACTCAGCACCTGCCCGATGGGCGCCTGCCTCCCCTGGCCCTTAGAGGACCCCGTCCGTGCCCAGCCCGAGAGGGTAGTCTGGGGCCAGGAGTGAGAGCACAGCCTCCCCGGGCGGCGTGCAGCCCGTTTTCTGCTCCCGGAGGAGGGGGCGGAGAGGGGGATGCAGGAGATCGCCGGCTCTGAGTGGCTAACTTGCGCTTTGTGGACTCTCTGAATACTCAAGAGTGCATTGAAAGGGAGGCGAAGGTGGCTCCGGAATTAAGCGGCAGCTTGGCAACTCGTCAGGCGGCAGTTCTAATCCCAGTGTCACCACTAGTTCCCCTCCTGTCTCCTGTCACACCTGCCCCAGTGGCTCCTCCACAGTTCCTGCGAGAGGACGGGGCTGCGAGAGACAGACTGACAGACAGACAGACAGACAGACAGAGCAACCAGGCCGCGGGGGCTGAGCCCCAGCCTGAGCCCGGCTTCTGGCCAGAGCGCAGAGTGAGTGACCTGGGTGCCGTCCCTCAGGGGGCTCTGAGCCTGAAGTGGCCTCAGGTGGCCCCGGCACTGCTCGGCCATGTCAGATCCTTGGCCTCTCACCCCCTTATGGGGCGAGGACTGCGATGGGGACCTCAGCGGCTGGGACCTCCTGTCGGACATAGCTCTGTCCGTGAACCCGGTAGGTACCCCTGACACCCAAGTCAGACCTCCTGTTCCGTGTTGTCTGTTTCCCCTGTAAATGTTTGTCTCCCCCAATTTGCGTGGAGTCTCGAAGGCAGAAATTATGTTGTCTTCGGTGTCTTTAAATCCTCCCCTTGGCACCATCCTGAGCACAGTGTGAGCTCAGTCAGGATTTGTTGTCTAAAGAAGTAAATGGGAGAACTGATGAATAGGCGGACGGGCGAATGAATGCGATCCTATTACCCTTGTCACCACCTTACAATGTATGTCCCGGTGGGTCTCAATTGTTTGTTTTCCCGTCCCATCTAGACGGTTAACTCCGAGAGAAAGAGGCCAAGTCTGACGGTTCTTTGTGTCACCGACCCCCCTCGCCCAGCACTGTTCTAGGCACAGAGGAGATGCTCGCTGGTTAATTCAAAAGCACTTGCGGGGGGTGGGGGGGGGAACCACTTGCGGCTCAAATGAGTTGTCTTGCGGTGAAAAGAGCAGCGGAGCAGGGCTAGATGACTTTGCGGGACTGGTGACTCCATGTCAATGCTGGATTCCAGTATTTTCTAAAAAAGAGAAAAACAATCTGAACGCTCGGTGTGGATGCATATTTATTTGACTGTCCGTGTCGGCAGAGTTCTTCCCCAGAGTCCACAACTCTTTTCTATTTTGACAGCATTTCCCCATAAGGAAATGGATATTTATAATACCAGGTGTAGAGATGATATTTGCGGTTGGCGAGAGTGAGTCAGATCTTACCTTGTGCAGACGAGAAGACTGGGCTTCGTAATAAAGCAGTGAGGAGACCAGCAGGGCAGGGGCTAATAACCCAACGCACCATGAGGGGCTTTGCGGGTTACAAAGCGCGTTCACGTACCTTATTTCATTTGCTGCTCGCAGAAACCCTTGAGAGCTTTGAAAGGAGCAGGTATTACTGTTATCGTCCTTTTATTTTGCTCAATTTTATTTTATAGTTGGGCGAACTGGAGCTCAGAGGGGTAAGGTTGTGAAGTCCTGTTCCCAAGGGGTAGGATCAGCCTCCCACCCAACTCTTGAGACTCATAGGCAAATGTTCTCGCTGTGTCTGCATGTGGCTGATACTTTTTTCCCACTTTTATTTCAAAAGTAACATTTGTGTGTTTGTGTGGCAAAGGGAAAACAAAGACCTTTTCATGAGAGTTGGGCAGCCCAACAGATACAATGGGACAACCACACTGAAGATTTAAGTCTTGGCTGTAATCATTTTGACCTTTGTGTTTGGGGAAGGTATATGTTAGAAGTTCAACAGCTGTCTTGGAAAATACGGTTGCTAGAGCCTTGAGCAATGGAGTGAGATTTTTTAAAAAATTTAGTGTTAGTTAGTTAGTTTTGGCTGTATTGGGCCTTCGTTGCCACACGCGGGCTTTCTCTAGTTGCGGCGAGCGGAGGCTGCTCTTCATTGCGGTGGCTTCTCTTGTTGCGGAGCACAGGCTCTAGGCACGCAGGCTTCAGTAGTTGTGGCACAGGGGCTCAGTAGTTGGGGCTCGCGGGGTTAGTTGCTCCGTGGAACGTGGGATCCTCCCGGACCAGGGCTTGAAGCCGTGTCCCCTGCACTGGCAGGTGGATTCTTAACCACTGCGCCACCAGGGAAGTCCTTGGAATGAGATTTTATTTGCTGTTAAGAATAATCAGTTGAGTTCTGTAATCCTGTAATATGTTAGACCAGCCTCTCCTAGTGTATATTCTGCAAACACCCATTCTATGGAATGGCGATCATTGTTAATTGGAAGAAAAACCACACGCACGTGAAAACTAAGAACCCAACAATCAATAGTCAAGCAAGTTGGGAACATGCTGCTTTAAACCAATTACATAGGTGTCTCAGAGCCTCTAAGTTGCATCATGGGCTGCCAAGAGGGGGATGCATGGCAGCATTTCCCATACTTTTTTGGACACGGAACCTTTCATTTTGCAGGACTGGTGTCCATGGGATGTTCTGCTTTGTAGCACTCACCATGGTAACAGTCGTCCATTACCTATGTGATTCTTCACACCCGTCTTCTTCCTGAGTCTACAAACTCCATGAGGGAGGAAACTGTGTCTCCCTTTGCTTCTTTCCGTTGTGTCTTTGCCGACCACGAGCCTGGTGGCACAGTCCCTGGCCCTCAAAGAATATTTGTTGAATGAATGAATGAATGAATGAATGATCTCTGCTAGACCAAACCACGTGTGGTTCCCTATCAGGAGCCTGTATTTAAGGTTCTTTACCACGTCTGCCCAGGCAATTTGTCAGCCTTTCCTTCTACTGTTCTTTCCGCTCAGTATTAGAGTATTCGTGTTCTTGGAAGGGTGACTGTATAATTTGTCGTCCGAATCAGGACATTTTTGAGGGTGAAAAGGGACACTGTCGGTAATGACAGCAGAATAACATGTGTACACCGGAACCACACTGGGTTATAACCCAGGCTGGATGGCCCCCTCATTATTGTTGGCTCTCTAATCCCCACTAGGGATTTTATGCTGCTTGGAGCAGGGACTTTTACATGGAGTAGGTAGTCAAGGTAAGTCAACAAATATTGGTTGAAATTAATGTGTGTACAGTAGTGACTGTTATGCTCACTTAAGATTTACTGATGATTGTAACATGTATTTTTTTTTAAGATCGAGGGAAACTGGGGCCGTGTTCTCTTCCCCATTTCCTCAAATATAGTCGTGTTTATACCTTAATCTATCAGAGTAACTAGGGGATTAGGACTTAATTGCCCTTGCAAGAGGCCTGGAACCTACAGCCTCTGTGGCAGTACTCTCTTTACAGGACTGGCTTTTTACCTCCCAAGGCAGTGAGTGAAAGAGACCAAATGGTCTCCCTACTGGAACTGGAGGGAAGTGGAGGTGATCAAATTGCCATCGTGGAGAAGGTGTGAAGGTGTGAAGGAGAGAGTTCGGAAGGTTTGGGGGATGGCCGTACCTGCACAGGTGCCATCACACCTGGTAGACCTTCCTCCAGCTGGTGGTCCCACCCTCAGGTCCCTCACCAAGCACAGCTTTAGAGCTGGTGTTTCACTTTGGCATTTGGTTTCTTGCTCTCACTGACTATGGAGCTCCTGAAGGAAAGGGCATGTGCCAGATGCAGAGTCAGTACTCGGTACAGTTCTGCTAGTTGCTTGAATTTTGATTGATTAGGAAGGTGTCACACTGAGCAACAAAGCTCAGGGCGTTCACTTTGTGAGATTCTCTCTGTAGGCATGTGATTGGACTCCTGAGTTAAAAGGGGACTTCAGCTAATCACAGAAGTGTTTCATATAGGCGTCCTCTTTTACAAATCTGTGATTATGAATAACATGGTAAAGTATGTCAGTGGGTGGAAGAGGCCTCAAAGATCAGGAAGGCGAGCTCCTTCTTTGGATGGATGAGCAAAGTGAAACTCGGGGGACAGGGGAGGATGGCTCCGTGTCCCAGAGCAAATCAGTGACAGGGCCAGGCCCTCTCTGCATCTTGCACTGTGGTCTTACGGCTTCCGTAAAAGAAAACAAAATTGGCCATTTGCAGATATTTACTGCTTTGTATTTCATAGTGGAAAAAACCCCACGTGTATAGCTATGTTTACTTCCTTTACAATTTTTCCTACAGGGTAAAATATTATACAACATGCTTTTCTGAGAATAACTATATTATGGTTAATTTTCTTTTTTTGTTCATTTTGTTTTAGGTGAGCCTTCCCAGTGACCCAAGCTGTGTTGAAGAAATCTTGCGGGTGAGTTTAAACCTTTGTCTCTCTGCCTTTTAATAATGAAGGAGTCAATCTGCTTAAACTGTTTAAAGTCATTCCTTTTCTGTTTCCGGGAGTGTGTCACTTCTTACCTCGTCTTCTTGCTCTCTAATCAAGCTAGTGTCCTGATCTCTCCAAGCTTCTGTCGCCTTCTCGCATCCTTCTGAGTCTTTTCAGGGCTGAACAGAGACTCACCACCTCCTTTAGGACATGTTTCCTGTTCAAGCATCCTACCCGCAATCTTTGCCTTTCTGTTCTCTGGGATCTCAGGTCAGCCTCGTTGCTGCCTCCTGCTACGTTGCTGATGGGACATGGTCATGGAGACTGTGGCCTACAACGAGGGGATGAGAAGTGGCAGGGTGGAGGGGAGATGAGGAGAGACTTGAGAATGATGGCAAGTTGTGGGAGATGGTGCTAATGGGGGTGAACTGGTGCATGAGAGTGGCGTGGAGACAACACAGAGCCGCAAAAGGTGGCAATGACCTCTCCCAAAGTACACGATTAAACCAAATGGAGAAACCAAAGCCAAGGCAGAGAAATGTATCTCCCATCTCTGCCTGTTGGCATCCTAAGGCGTTGCGGTATTTGAAGAATAGGAATCGTGGGAGTGGGTTCTCTCTCCACCATTTGTCGCTTCTGTAATTTGGACAGGCAGCTTCATCTTTCTGAATCTCCCTTCCTTGTCTGTAAAAGAGGGCAGTGCTGCCTGTCCTAATTCCCTTATAAGCTGCCGAGCGGTATATAAATGCTGTCTACTATGAGAAATGATCGGTGTGGCCAGGAGAAAAACATGCTGGCTTTCCACTGGGGAAAGAAATCCATCTCTGTGCCCGGGGAAATTCTTCATCCCCTTTCCTCACCTCCCCAAGTCACCTCAGCTCCCCCGACACTCTCCCTGGTAAGTGTTGGAAGCAAACCCTGTGAAAATGCAGCCAAAGGAATAAAAAGGAGTAGAAACCTGTTTACCATGGAGCTGACCGGGCACCTGATTTCCCCCACTGTGGATATTCGTGCACCTTTTTCAGCCCAAGAACGTTGTTACTGACTGTTAAAGAGGGGAGTCCGATCACTCTGATCAGAGATGAGATGATCTGAGTTAGGGGAGTACTGGTTACTTTGGTAAGAGTCCAGGAACCCCTCCATCATCTCTCCCTGGGATCCAAGGGCCGGGGGCGGGGGGCGGTGGGGAGTGTGGGCAGCCGCCATGAAATCCACAGCGTGACGCACCCTCGGAACCCAGCCACTTGCTCCCTGCACCTTGCAGCGGGTGGAGACAGTGCAGATGCACCAAATACACCAAATACTGTGAGGGTCTTGGCCACCTGCCTTTTAAAGAAAGGCGGTGCTGAAAGAAACCTCTTCCTCTAGTCCCTACAGTAGTCTGGCTTTTCCAGATGAAGTCAGGGGTCTTTTCTGAACCCCAGAGGAATGCCAGACCCGTTTCAGAATCACCACCTCATTTGTGACAGTTGGAATTCTCCACTTCAGAGCAGCCTGGCCCTGGAGCCTAGGTGGCCCACACAGTGACCGAGCGAGGGGAGCCGGCTGGACACCTGGCAGAGGCTGGCGACTCCAGGCTGCTGGAGAAGCCACTTAGACAAACAACAGAATGTCACTTAAACACGGAAAGAAAAGAAAGTAGTTGCCTTAATAAGCTCATAAAAGGCAGCTCCCCTTGAGAAAGTAACAAAAGTCTTTCTGTTGTTCTTGAAAGAGAATCTAGGGGAATGGGCTTTTTTTTTTTTTTTCTTTCGAAGGGCTATACATTGTATAGAATTCTGGGTTTTTTGTTTTGTTTTGTTTTCTCGACAATACCGTTAATGAGTGGGCTTTCCTTTATTGAAGAGTGACATGTTTCAATCTCCATGCTTGGAATAGAAATCAGCTTTCTGAAGTCTACGGCTCAGATTTTATGATTCTACTCCTTAAAATATTATAGACCACATTACACGGCACAACAGAGTGCTCGCTGGACACTTTTGTTATGGCACGTTCACGTTCCTGTTTGTTTGAGGGCCTCGGAGCCCTGCAGACGATCCCACAGTAAGTCTGTTGGTCACTTTGCTCCCAATCTGCCTCCTTCTTGAGGGGGCGGAGGGGGGAGATACCTTTCCTCTTTCTCTCCTCCTCTCTCTGACCCCCTCAGTGCTTTTCCAACTAAGCAGAGTCCAGAGCAAGGTCATCTTCTCTCCCTCACTGAAGGGGGCTCTGCAGAGGAAGGTGCTCTGGCCCAGGGGTGGGAAAAGCTGGCCGCCGGTTGGTCCTGACGTTCCATCACTTCCTAGCTGTGTGGCTTTTCAATTTCCTCGTCTGGAGAACAGGGGGTCATTCTGCACCCTTACATCCGTCTCCTCTGCCGTGAACGAGTCTGTAATGTGTACACACCGCTGGCACGTGCAACGGGGAGAGAGCTCCGTCTGTCGGCTCGCCCAACTTTCCCACCTCCCCGAGTCCCCCTTTGTTTTTCCCCTCGACAGCCCAGCAGGCAAAGTCACTTCATCGCACATTGGTACAGACGAAGCAGGACACGACTGGCCTCTCCCCGCTCTCAGCCCCTCAGTCCCCCGGCGGTGGAAGTGCTTTGGCCTAACGCATTGGATTTGGGCCCCCTTTTCAAAACGCTGTTCGAGTTCAAACCAGTTGGCTTCCTTTGAAAGTCCCTCTCGCCATTTCTCCCCTTCAGACCCACTTCTCTTTCCACGCGCTCCTGGCTCTCATTCTACCCGGGAGCCCACCTTGTCTGGTCTTCCGGGCCTGACTTGATCTGATATGACGAACGTATGTCCCTCTAGCCCGTGACTGCCTTTCAGAGCACTTGAACCTCATTATCTTATTTTGATCATAGGAACCATGGTAGTCCCCTGTTATTGGCTTGGCCAAAAAGTTCGTTCGCCTTCTCCGGAAGATGTTATGGACAAACCCGAATGAGCTTTTTGGCCAACCCGGTGTTTCAGGAAATCGGGGCCCAGAGAGGTTATACATGACCTGCCACCCTGGGTGAGGCTAGTATATGTGGCAGAGGCACAAGGAGAGTCTGCTCTTCGCTTTGCACTATACCTGTCAACCACCGTGTCACAAACCTACAGTGAAGATCTCTGGATTCAAAAAAAATTGCCTCAGATGCTTGGCAGACTTACTCCTAGCAACTCTAACTGGGAATACCAGCAAGCCAACAAAATCTGAGCCGGTCTTAGGAATTAATTCTTCCGGACGTCTTGAATATTTTCAAATCTCATTTCAAATAATAAAATAATAACAATAACAAATTACTGCTACTAATAAAAAAAATACTGGTAGCAATGTGCCACTTTATGCAGGCAGAGTACTTAAGTACATTATGTCATTTACTTTTCACAACAGAACTGAAAGATTTTATTATTAGTTACTAGTTATGGAAAGCCAGAGAGGCTGAGTAATTCGCCCTCAGGGCAAACAGCCGGCTCTAAGAATCCTCATGCTGCCCCCTCTTCTCTGTTCCTGTTGGCTTACCTGAATCCATCCTTATTTCACAAGCTCCGCTCTCTTTTATGATTAACATTACAGTGGCATCAACCAACAGTTCACTTCAGCTTCTGTTGTTTCCTTAATTCGTACACACTCAGTTATGCCAAAATAATTCCACGTAGTTTTTCCAACAAATCCAAATTCATCAGAGCCCACAACACCTTTCCTGCCACCTGCCCTTCTTCCACAAAACAAGCTGTGGAAATTCAGATGGCTTTGCTCCTTGTCAGGTACATTATTGCTTATTATAAATTTTACAGATCAGAAGAGACTTAAAGGCAGCAAAATCTGTGCAGCACAGCCCAGCCTGCGTGCGTACCTGTTTCCATCAGCCTATGCCATTTTCTCTTTAGACTCAAGCTACCCTCGAGTACAGACAGAAATGAAAAATAATAACAACTCTGGCCCTAGTGATGGCGTTCTGCAGTTACAATTCATCTGTCATATGAGGGATTCCTAAACTGCTCATATGTAATAATCTGGGCCGCAGTGGCGGCTTCTTTTCTAGCTCCGCCGGGTTTTATGGGTCCTAGAGTAATCATTTCCGGAAGAGTTAAGCCAAGGAGAGCAGTCTGCACTAAATGCTACTAGCTGAGGATGGATGTTCAGTGATTATTTCTTCTGCAGTGGTGTGATTTATTTGTTCTTAGCAAGAATTGACTTAAAAATATCAACAGACTATCAATTAAATCCTTTCTAGAGTCACAAATGCAGATACAGCACTTCTCTTAGATTTGACGCCGAACAGATTGTGTTTCCTAGCTAAGTACCTTCCGTAGTTGATAATTTCCTAAGCAAACATCTGTATGGGTAATTCACTGTTTATGAGGGATGCTGAATTTGCTAGCTAGGATTTAGGGAACTTGATTTGATAAACTATCGTCTATACAGATTTCTCCCTGCCATATGGATCAGGTTTGTAAACACCGGCATGGGCACCTCTTTTGATTGCAGCGTGATCTGTGTTTACAGCATTTTAAATTATGGCAATTCTGCTTATTAGGTCTATGTTTAAGTGCACAGTTTTAGTGTGGAAAGAACTTACCAAATAATTAGAGGACGGCCACGTACGGTACTTGCTAGTTTTTACTTGTAAAGGGGAAACGAATGAAAAAGCCCATCTTAAGAGTGAGAAAGAAAATGGATTGGGGAGCAAAACTGATCAGACAATTACGTCTGAAAGGAATTTTGATTATATTATCATAGCTATGCAGCATAATCAAGCACCTTTCAGTAGAATTTCTTTGATAAATTTAACCAATAATTAGGCAATTGATTTTATATCCTGTCAAATTAATGTATAAATAATGTTCCAATTGGAATCATGCAAACGATTTTCTACATAGCCGTCTTAAATACTAGTCCTCCCAGGATGATTCAGAAAGCATCTATCCTATTCTGGTGTGGACTTTCAAAATTATAGTTTCTTGAAATAGTAATATAGTGTTCCATCCAAGAAAGACAACGACTGCTAAATATAA